CCTCCCCACTTGTTGTAGTCCACTTCCTCTCTCTGAGCCGTGAAGAGCATTCCATTGAATTTGATAGGGATCGGCTCTCGTGATTGAATACCCTGTAGGTAGCGATGGAGGGCACTTTTACTGTTGACCTCGCCAGCCCTAGGGCCGGTGATTTCGATCCAGCTACGGTTCCAGAACTGTGCCCACCACTGCATGTGCTTCTCGATAGCAGTCATGCTGTTGTATTCCGCGATGAGCCTCTTCGACTCAGCAACGGCAGGGTCCAAACCTTGCTCGGAGGTGGCGACACCGATGACCATGGAGAAGTCCCGGCTTGGCTCTGAGGTCTTCAGCTCTCCCACAGACAGGGTCGCAATCATAGACGTTCCAAAGCGCCATGTAGCCGCAGTAGATCTGTTGGCGATACGATCGGTAATAGACCCTTTGAGGGACTCGAGGTTGAGAGCTTCCAGAATGCTAGTGGTGTAATCGCTGCGAACGTTGGCGTGGGCCCAGCCGATGACTCCTCCAGAGTCGTTGAGATAGAAGTCGGCACTGACGTTGTAGGGTCGGCAGTGATACAAGGGTTGCCTAGAGAAGGGCTTAGGGCGTAGCAGCTCGGCGACAACCGAGACATCAATCGGTGTTGGGGAGGAGATGTTCACCACTAAGACATCCTTGAGGGCATCAACGTAGGCTTCGACCCTCGTCGGTGGGGAAGGGCCGACTTCAAGAATAACACTTCCTGTAGAGGTATTGAGAACCTGCGGAACAAGTGACGACGCTGAAGATATTAGTCAAGTCTGACCCCACCTGCTTAATCGAGGTAGTGTCGGCCGTCACCCACGGGTTGGGGGTGAGCTCTAGAGTGACCTTTCCAACTTTGATGAACTCCCCCGCCTCATTCCAGGATCTCTGATCCGATATCAGCAGCGCTATGATAGGGTTAGAAGCATTCTTATTGTCAACGATTACATTAGCAGCTAAAGCACCGTTACCGATAGGCATGGCATTGACATAAGTGGTAGCGTTCTCTTCAGGGAGGAGGCCTATCCAGGTCACCGTGGAAGGGGTGACACTGAGGACAGGATAGAGGAGGACGGCCACAATGAAAGCGATCATTGGAGGCATCAGGAAGATGTTGAAGACTGAAGTTTCGTGGCGCGTGACGGGATCGGAGGTCGGGGGT